TAAGTTTTCTTCCAATAACAGTATTTACAGTCGAAAGATTAGTTTACTATTCTTTTTCCATTTTATGTCTTGAGGTCACTTCTCTCCTTTCTTATCTACCTACTATTGCAATCAGAACTATTGTTTTCATTTCTTGGACCAAAGATCTTTTTCAGTTTCTTCACTTTTCACTTTCTGAGTGGTCAGCGGTATGGCTAGAAAATTTGTTCCAGGATAAAAAATAATGTCACCGAGCAAATTTTCATGGAAATTGAAGACAAATCTTCTCAAAACTAGTAAATTTAGCTTTGATGAATAATAATTGGGATTATGAAAATAGAACGCCAGTTAGTCAAGTATGATTAATTAACATCACCATGATGTTTACCTCGTGCTCAGCCTATTTCCTGGTAATTTTTTCAAATACGCATCATATAAATGTTGACTAAGATCTTGATACCTTTTTTATAGTGTTGGACTTGGAACATTAGTTAGTTATTTCAAGACTGCTTACATCAATTGCACATTTAAAAACTGGACCTTTGTCTTGTCCACTCGCTTGACTTAATATAGAAGAGAGCATCCAAGGGAAAGCTATATCTTTGTGAGGCATATGGCAAAATAAACATCCAACAGTAAAGTTATTAAAAAGGAAAAACCAGTTTACAAGGGTAGAGTTGTGGCATTAAATTTCTTGATGTACACCAAATGTCGACTCAAGGCTTACTCCAATTGTAAGATGGTTAATTCTAGTTGAAAATGTTGTAGCCTTCCGAACATGATCTGTTCACACATATACGGGCTCACCCTCTTACCAATTCTTGGTTTTATTCCTTTACAGAGAAGACAGGGCCATCCCAATCCAAAGAGTCGAAGTGAAGCATTTAGCCCTCATATGGAAGAAGCAGCTTCCGGTTTTCCAATTGGTCCACCTAGACGAACACAATATTCGAAAGCAAGTAGCAAAGATATGTCGGAGGATCCTCTGCAGAAAGTTTCTCACTCTGGGCCTCTTGCTCCAGAAATGGGGGGTACATTTCCCGGGAAGAAACATGATGATATTTCCATTGTTTCGGCCCGAGCGGATTTATCCACACTATCTGGTTTAGTGGCATCTATGGCTTTGTCATCTGTAGAATGCAGAAATAAATCTGAATCGTTTGGAGATCCCATAAGACAGCAGGATAGGAGACGTTACGATCTCTTTTCTAGTTCTCGTCAAATGGAAAATGGAAGATCTAGTACCAAAGAACCTGTTAAGGTGAGTTTCTAAACTTCATATGTCTGGTTAAATTAAGCTCTAATTTTTCTCCTGATTAATATGTTTTACCACAATAAACCATTCTGTGGTTTTGTATTACATTACAATCACAGTTCTGAAACGTTGAAAATTACAAGGTAAAAATGTTTCCTGGCGAAGGATCATAGTTATGATCTTTTAGACTATATTATATTGAGATTTATTATTTCTTTATCTTTATTATAAATACATACCTATGTAAAAATACATTTATGTTGAATTTGTGAAGGCTAATTATCCTGCACACCTTACCCCCTCAACCGCGGATTGATCTATGGGTAGAATGGAGTTCTTTATATGTATTAGGGGTATAATGGGTAGTTCGTAAACGTATTAAGTTGCCCTAATATTTCCGCTCCCTATTAAGGGTATTAGAGTGAAGCAGCGAGCTGTTCCATATAGTAGTGAAAAAGAGAAACACGAGTATAAACACATTGTAATGCTGCTTCTTCAATAGTGAAATTTTGAAGCGGCAAGTGGACGTATCTTTCACAAAGAGAGTGAACTATTGTAAATCTTGTATTTTTACTTACTCACATTTTCTTGTTATATTGCTCTCGGTAGTATAGGATTATCAGTTTAGCCAAAACTTAATATCCAAATAACGATTCTGCCAAATGTCGACTCAAGGCTTACTCCAATTGTAAGATGGTTAATTCTAGTTGAAAATGTTGTAGCCTTCCGAACATGATCTGTTTACACATATACGGGCTCACCCTCTTACCAATTCTTGGTTTTATTCCTTTACAGAGAAGACAGGGCCATCCCAATCCAAAGAGTCGAAGTGAAGCATTTAACCCTCATATGGAAGAAGCGGCTTCCGGTTTTCCAATTGGTCCACCTAGACGAACACAATATTCGAAAGCAAGTAGCAAAGATATGTCGGAGGATCCTCTGCAGAAAGTTTCTCACTCTGGGCCTCTTGCTCCAGAAATGGGGTGTACATTTCCCGGGAAGAAACATGATGATATTTCCATTGTTTCGGCACGAGCGGATTTATCCACACTATCTGGTTTAGTGGCATCTATGGCTTTGTCATCTGTAGAATGCGGAGATAAATCTGAATCGTTTGGAGATCCCATAAGACAGCAGGTGAGGAGACGTTACAATCTCTTTTCTAGTTCTCGTCAAATGGAAAATGGAAGATCTAGTACCAAAGAACCTGTTAAGGTGAGTTTCTAAACTTCATATGTCTGGTTAAATAAAGCTCTAATTTTTCTCCTGATAAATATGTTTTACCACAATAAACCATTCTGTGGTTTTGTATTACATTAGAATCACAGTTCTGAAACCTTGAAGATTACAAGTTAAAGATGTTTCCTAGCGAAGGATCATAGTTATGATCCTCTAGACTATATTATATTGAGATTTATTATATTGAATTTGTGAGGGCTAATTATCCTGCACACCTTTTCCCCCCTCAACTGCGGATTGATCTATGGGTAGAATGGAGTTCTTTATATGTATTACGGGTATAATGGGTAGTTTGTAAACGTATTAGGTTGCCCTAATATTTCCTCTCCCTATAAAGGGTATTTGAGTGAGGCAGCGAGCTGTTCCATATAGTAGAGAGAGAGAGAAACATGAGCATAAACACATTGTAATGCTTCTTCTTCAATAGTATAAACACATTGTAATCCTAAATATCTAAATGACGATTCTGTTTTCCCAGGATGGACATGGTTCTAGAGGGAACAAGATGCATTTCTCCGGTCCTCTACTTCTCCAGTCAAATAATATGGATCAGATGCTTAGAGAACATGATCTTCGGATACAAGAGGCTGCTCGACGCCTGAGGCACGATAAGACTAGAGCCAGTAAAGTCCGGCTGCACTAGACACAATTGATATCCAATCCAGCACATATCCCGAAATCATAAAATAGAATAGGACCATTTAGAGAGAAAGAGAGAGACTTGTCCTGCAAACAATTACTTTTCTGTATATTTGTGAGGGATTAATTCTACTTTAGAATTTTAGCTTCATCAACTCTCAGTCAAAGTGAAAGTAAAATAGAGTTAGTTGCAAAGAAGAATTGTTTTTTCTCAGTTAATGACTGGGTGATGGCATAGGAGTGCTGGTTTGAGAGTTTAAACGATAATCAATTTTAGTGGAACATATTTTAGGGCAAATTTGACAAAGCTTATAAGTGCTTATAAACAATAAAACTCAATTTTTATCCATGCATTTCGTAGGATTTATAACTTTTATCTATTCATGATTTACACATTATTTAGGAACATCTCATAATTTAATAAAATTCTT